AACTACCCAGAATGTAATCAAGTTGTGCGGTTCTTCTAATACGTTGTAGATTAAATGAGATTAAAAACATTGTTAATTTGTGAAATAAATGTATATAAGTCAAAGGCAGATTGCAGTTAATCATTTGCATATTGGTACAAACTCAACTACCCAGAATGTAATCAAGTTGTGCGCTTCTTCTAATACTTTGTAGATTAAATGAGATTAAAAACATTGTTAATTTGTGAAATAAATGAATAAGTACAAGTCAAAGGCAGATTGCATAAACATAGGTCATTTTTTTTCATATTTCAGGTTTCTTTCTACATGTTTTGGAAACTATGCAAACAGATTTACAATTTGTTTTCTTTTGAACATGTCAACATTACATCCTTAGCATCACGTAACATGTTGTTACAGCCCATGTGACACAGCCTAATTTGCTGACATAATTCACAACGTAAAAGCATTATAGATATCATGTCTAGGTTTTACTAGATGTACATGACAACAGGTTTAAGAACAAATGTAGAAGGCACTTGCTGCATGGTCACGAGGTCAATTAGACACAGTCTTGTTTTGCATAATAATCGTTGAATCTCTCGGATATCATAGACCCTTGCTGTGCAACGGGATATTACATAGACTACCTTAGCACCCATCCTGCCTACAATTAAGAACAATTCACAATGCAGTGTGAGTGTGCCAACAAGTGTTTGCCTATTTAAAAGTTACTAACTTCTACAAAATGAACTTACCTGTACATGAGAGTACATCGGGGAATCTGTTCTTGTTTTTGCAGACAGGTTTCTTGGCTTCCTCACAGTTGACTGCCACTGACATTTCATATAGCACCTACATTTCAAAGTGAACAAATTGACAGACAACACACATTACATTGCTTGTTCTCACTCTAGCTCGGACTTCAATGGCGAATTGAGTTATTTTTGGCTGACTTAATCGTTTGCATATTCATTCTTCAGCAAGTGCATGGACAACATAGCCATACACCAGTATGGCAGAAATATAGAACCGAGTCTGTGACTCGGACTTGAGTTTGACTTGCGCTGCAAAATCTATTAACTTAACTTAACTTCAAGTTACAATGGCTGATGACTCAAACTCGGCTCTCATGACTCAACTCATGACTCAGACTAGACATCAGGGACATGTCACTGGTGAGTCACATTTCACTGACTCAACGAAACAGTTTTGGCAAAACTGTCTGGTAAGACATTAAGCTATTGCTGATCAAGTGCAAAATTTTGTTTGTTGTCGGTAACAATTGACTGAAATAAAGACCTTGTATTCTGATACATTCTGTTTTGCAGGTACGAAAATGGGAAGACCTATTATCCTCACTTGAAATTCTATACACAACAGAAACTCATGCACTTTTTTTTTGAGACTTTTAAAGTTGTGAGTTATTGAAATATTCACTGAGCCAAATTTGTACTTCAGAGTCAGCTTGAATTTCTCCACAGGGTCTTGCTTGTCTATCTGTTTTTGCAGTGTGGTAATGGTCTTCGGTAGTGACTGACCCAATAAGCACCAACCTTAGCTGGTCTGGTGAGCGTCATGTGTCACATCTCGGCGTCGCTGACCACGCGGTCTTGGTCCTTCTAGAAGGGATGTTGGTGTCAGAACCCCAGGAACTAGAATCGTCTCACCATGAGCCTAGGACCTGGGGAAGAAGGGAGGGGGAGAATACAACATCAAATTTCACTGATAAAATACTGTAAATATAGTCGCCGTGTTTATTTTAGTTTTGCACATATTTCATGTTGTTCGAAAGTTTAAACATTTAGCCAACATTATCAGGCTGCTGCTGACAATGGACTCATTTAGCATTTTCCTGGATCAGAATCTCCTTGTCATTCCTCTGTTGGATAAAATCATCCTCCTTGGTGACTTCATATAGGGAACTTGTACAGGAATCACATACACAGTCTGGAGTGGCATGCAGTTGAAATAAGTTGAAATAAGCATGCAGTTGAAACAACCGATTGCATAAACTCAACCTGCACGCTGATTGAGACCTCACCAAACCCACTACCCTATGTCAGATGTCCGATAAGGTTTCCCTATTTTGTATTAAAACCTCAACACTTTCATATTTTCAGCATCCATAGCAAAAACAAAGTGAAAAAAATCCATCTATATTTCAAACTCAGAAAATACAGCTTCTAAGAAAATTTTGCGTGCACATGTGTAACTCACGACGGAAGAAGTCCAGTATTTCAGATATTATGGGGATATATAACCCCATCAGATTTCTTTAATTAACTCTTTCTGGAATCTGGATCTTAATCTGGCAGGATCCCATTTTATTTCTATTCAAAATAGGTTTTAACCTAATTTCTGCTAGAAAAGTGGTAAAATATATATTTTTATCCTATTCAAAATAAGTAGGCACAGATGCACTATTTAATCCCTATGTTTCTGGTGGCCATCCTATTTTATTTCTATTTTTCAAACTGCATACTATTTTTCGTCTATTTTATTTCAATTATCCTTTCATAAATTTATTCATTTGTATTTCTTTGCTCATTTCATGTATGTAAAGGACTACTAAAAATGCTTATTTATCAAATGTAGGCAAATGATTTTGCATTACCGCCATGTGTGCACATTTCCAACATGAGAGATCATCTGCCATATGGATTTCTATGCTCTACATGAACATGTATATTAAGTTGTAACCATTGTTTGGATACTATTTTTTTAAAATAGCGTCCTATTTTTAAAAAAATAGCAACCTATGTTACCTCGATATATTTGTACTATTATGTCCCCCTTTTTTGGGTGGTGGCAAAATACAATGGAAAAAATAGATTAAACAAAATATATCTTATTCAATCGGAATTCAAAGAAAAAAAAATTCTCCATTAGTTGTTCAACCCAAGTGAGCAAATAGATTGCTGTAGGAACAAAACTAAATTAACACTTAAACATTATTTTCAGGCTGAAATTTGAAAATCACCAGGGCTGCTTACTGCACCAATAGCATTTGTCTTCTGATTCTATTTTTGTGGGGTCACCGGGGTCATGGAAACACTGACTGATATTTCTACACAGGAAACCTGCACCGGATGTGAGCAGAAAGTATCCGGTACAGTACATGTATACACGGACTCCAATAGCTTCTTAAAATAGAACTGGGAATTTACGCCCTGTGTGCAATGATAGTTCAACATTCATGTTCATGTACAGTGTATTGCATTCACATCAAACTGTGTAAACTACACATACTGCGTCATCTTTCAGGAGGATAAATCTAAATTTCTTTCTAAAACTAACTTCAATTCAGGTAAGTGTATTTCATGTTGTTCACGTATTTAATGACATTTGTTTAGAATCATGGAATAACATGCCAGTTTGTGCAGCACTGATCTCACCAAAGACAGAGTCAATGCTCGAATGCATGACACTCTTAGATTTGCACAAACACTTCCCTGTACAGTCTACCTTGAGAGGACTTAAAATATCCTTGATCCTACATTCAAATCTCAAATGAAAATTCAAACGTTGAACAAAGAAGTTGATAATGTGGGGTTTGAACCTATAATCTGCAGAATACTGTATAACACTCAATTGAGCTATTCCGGACCAGCCCTATGGTGGCGGTTCCCCAATTTGACATTGTCTTTGTTCAAGGGGTACTAGACAGAAGCCGTGAATGTGTTTATGCCATGCAGCCAGGGATCATGCCCAAAGTCACGTTAGCACTGCTTTTTTTTTTTTTAAATCTGTTTCTTCCCCTATAAATGCTTTATCATGATTTTCCTCAATGCTATATTGTATTTTGGTTGTGGCTGACTAGATATAAATGTAAAATATTGTTTTTAATGGAACCAAAAAAGGGGGAGGGATCAGGCCATGCACCTCAGTCAGCCCGCGCTCCCTTAATGCAACACAAAATTGGGGGTAGGGGGATTAAAAACTACAATTAGTTTCCCCTCCAGAGAGTGGGACCGCCCAAAAGCCTCCCTGTACATTGGAGCTCATCATGTCAATGCTTTGAATTAATAAAATATTAATTGCCTAAGCAAAAAGCATTTTACATCATTTTTTTTTCTAATACTGTAGTAACTAAGAGTAGCTCAATATATTTTTTTGTTGGGGTGGGGGGGGGGTTAAAGAGAGGGGCCATCTAATTATAAGTGCCTCCCTGCACATTGGAGTTATAAATGTCAATCAACTGAATTAATTACACATTACAATTCGTCACCATTTGCATGAAGAGCCACATATGTCAAAAATTACAATTTTTTCGATTTTGATTTTTTCACTAGTTTGTTTTAAAACATTGTACTTAACCAATGTGACATGTTTGTGTAAGCAAAACATTATTAATTTCCAAGTAACATTAATGTTGCAAGGGGCAGAACTTAATCAATGCATTTTGGCGTTTTCACGAAGAGCCAAATTTTGGCCCTTTGAATGCGTACATAACCTATTGCACTGATAGGCATAAAAGTAGGTCAACTGAGATTTTAATTCACAAAGAGCCACATATCTTTGTTACATTTTCAGCTGCATGCACGTACACACGCACACCCCGTCCATGTAGAAAAACACATTGAAATGAAAGGGACAAAATGTAGGAAACGTGACTTTTGTTTTCATGAAGAGACACATATATCTTTACTCTTTAATTTTCACTAAATAACTACTGTATTAATTCTACATACTGGGTTCATATAAAAAAATATTAAGCTCTCATAGAATCATATGATGGTTTTCTTGTTACACAAAGTTATTGCAAAGTAGTTTTTTTGCAGTTTTAGTATAGATAAACCTTCTTTTGCGATTATCTCGAAACCACTTTTTCTTCAAAATCCACATATGTGGCTCTTCGTAAAAAAAGTGACGAATTGATACCCATGAACTGAGAAAACAAAACATGTTGGCAATGTTGGAGATGATTAATGTAATCATTTTATATATCGAAGTCAACATTTGACAACTTTTATTCATTCTCAGATTAAAAACAAAACTTGATTCTTCAAGAAGTCAAGATGGCATCAAGTGTTACAGTTCAATCAGTGTTGGAGAAGATTAGTGTGGATCATCTGGAATGCTCCATCTGCACCAACCGTTTCAGGCAGCCCAAACTGCTGGACTGTTTGCATAGTTTTTGCCTGCAATGCCTCCAAGAGCTCAGACAGAGCCAAGATCCTAGTAGTACAAAGCTGACATGTCCTCTGTGCAGATGTGAAACCATGTTGAAAGGGTCTGGGGTTGCTGATCTCCCTAATAACTTTGCCTTCAGTGCCATGGTGGAGGAAGTTACAATGCAGGAAAAGCTACTGGAAGGTCAAGGGTCAGAGATCAAATGTCAAGCCTGTGATGAGGAGAATCAGGCTATTTCAAGATGCATGAACTGTGATCATTTCCTCTGCCAAGAATGTCACAAGGCACATGGACGAATGAATTTGATGATGAAATCTCACAAAATCTACACACTGGCTCAACTTCGATCAGGAGAGATTGTCTACAAGAGTAAACTAAGAGAACAAGTTCCCAAATGTGGCGAGCATCCAGATCAGAATCTCAATGTCTACTGCAACACATGTGAGCAAGTCATATGCACAACTTGCTCTGTACTTGATCATGCAAAACACACACTCACTGGATTACCTGAGGCAGTAGAAAAATGTAAGAAGAAGGTCACAGAAATGGTCCGAAAAAGTGAGAGAAGAAAAACAGAATTGGGCACCACCATAGAAGACACATGCAAATCTTGCAAAGAGCTGGAAACCATGTTTGCCAAAACTCAAAAGAAAATCTCCAAAAAGGCTCAACAGAAGATTACAAAGCTCCAACAGGAGATTACAAAGCTCAAACAGGAGGTTGCAAAGATCCAAAAGGAGATAACAAAGATCCAAAAGGAAGAAAAGAAACTGTTAAAAGAGACAGACATGATTTATAAAGACAAACTCAAAGCTTTTGAAGCTGTTCAAGCAACCAACAGGAAAGAGGTGACACAGACAGAGCACAAGCTGGAGGAGGTCAAACAACTCATGAATCAAGCAAGTTGCTACGAGATTCTTGAACTTCAGCAGAAGCTCTTGCATAACCTCAGTGAATTGACAGGGAAACAGCCACAGCAAGTTCCTGACAAGTTGACCTTCATGGATTTTGAAGAAGGTGAGAGGTCACTTGGGAGACTCATTCTGAAAGAAGAGCCAAAGGCTGCAGCAAAGCAATCATCAAGACCTGCAAGATTACTTGTGAAGGAGAAATGGGAACTTAAGACTGAAATCAAGAACTTTGAATTAACAGATGCATTTATTGCAAATGCGGCACCATGTTCTGAAAATAAAATACTTGCACTAGCTTCTAGAGGAATTTTTGAAAAAAAAATTGCACTATTCACAGTTTCACTTCCCAACAGCCAACATACACCGGCTCCTGTCCCACAAAGGCTTTATATCAATGGCCTCACTGAAAATGTAACATGCATTGCAGTCAGCAAGGATGACAACCTCCGAGTTCTAAATGGTCCAGTAGTCAAGGTCTTCAACAAGCAACATCAGCTCCTCCACCAGTTCACACCAGGTATAGGGTCAGACAGCCAACCAACATGCCTTGCATTGGATGACAGCAATCTGATAGCAGTGGGTTATGCAGGCAAGAATGAGATATCTCTACACAACCCAGATGGATCCCTCATCAGGAGACTGCCTGCTCCAATGATTCGAGGTAATCTGACAATGTACAATCACCACCTTATCTACACAAACCTGCCCAAGAAAAGGTTGGTATGTGTAGACTACTATGGTGCCAGTGTATTCTCAGTAGACATGTCCAGCAACATGCAGTGGGGTGGGCACCCTACTGGTGTGTGCTGTGACAGTGATGGCAGCATCTATGTTGCTGTGGTTGGATATCTAACAGGTGATATTCTGCATTACAGTCCTGATGGCAAGTACATTGGATGTGTGATCAAGGGATGTAGTAATCCATATGGCATCACATTCACATCAGGTGGTGATCTAGTAGTGGCTGCAAACAAGTCTGTACAGGTCTATCACCAAGTGTAAGGACAGATTAATTATACTGGGGCTATCCAGCATATCCACCAACCACTTCCATCAGACATTGATCATTGTTATCACTGACAAAGAACTTTAAAGTTCATTCCCTTAAACAACATTCTACAATACTGTATATTTGGTTTAATTCTAACGTCTTTGGTCTCTGTATGTGTTGACTCTAATACCTCAACCACTTCCCCTTTGGAAAATCTTGCACTTCAACACCCAGCCTACATGTACTTCCCAAAAAATCCTAGATCTGGTGCTCCAATAATGAAAGGAAAAAATGACCCTTCACATTGTTTGCAAATAGGGCAGCGTGCACATTTTAAAAATATTACAAACGAGAGGGAAAGTATTACCACGAAAGGCAATTCAATTTTTTTTAGATTCGTCTCAGCAAATGTGATTTAGAACTCAAGCGATAGTTTAAAAGTACATCATATGCAATGATATTGCAATCCCTTGGTCTCTTTCACAGTGCTTTCTGAGTGCCTCATCAAATTAATATTAGTTTCATTATATTTACAACCAAGTTGAAAATGAAAACCTTGCGCATTCTACTGCAATGATACATGGATGTTTGTAAATGTGGTTAGTATGATGAATGTACATTTGTAAATTGAAATAATTCTTCTTTGCCATTCTTAAATTTGATTTTTTGAATACTACAATTCAAGATGCATTTGGAACATTCTATGAATTTGGGGTCCACTTTTTCCTGTCCCTATACGTCTGGCATCTAAGATTTTGTAATGGAAGATGCACTCCTTTATGTGTGTACTCTTCCTCCAAGAATGCTTTTGTGAATCATGACCTACTCAACAAATATTAATTAATTTGAAGTGATTTTTTAATGCCACTTGAATGGCAAATGATACATTTCAGAGGTAACAGGGACAGGAAAAATGTCCGACTTTGAACCTTAAATGTATAGAATGACCTGCTTGTGAGAGGTTCCGTATCATTACAATAATAGTTTAGTTTATTCCATAAAGGATTGAGGCTTTTGCTTCTTTGAATAAGTATTGGTTTGCTAAATGCTGATAGACCAAGTAGTCTAAATGAAGCAATGAGCATTTGCTTTAATTACAGAACATTTCTCCAAGAGAACGCAGCTTCCATGACAACAATGACATTTCAGCAAAGATCCCAAGTCTGTTATTTTACCAATCAGCATCTGGAACTTTTTAAAGGTACGAGTAGTGCAACTAGGATTAAGCTTCTAGGGGGCACTTGGGGGTTCACCAATTTTTTGAGGGGGGAACTTAAGGTAACATTCTAAAGGTACCAGAGGCGTAAGTAGGGTTGGAAGGTTTTTGTAAGTAAAAGGATAATGTTATTTTTCATTGGCTTTTGTTTTTTCAAAGACTTAAGAATAGTACTTTCTATTAAAAAGGTGGATACAATGAAAATGGAATGCCATCGGCGTTTTGTTGTGTGGAAAAGTTCAAGACACACTCAGATTTACAGTATTTTAGGGGGAACACTGGGGCATTGAAAATATCTCAATAGTAAACTGTTTATATTGTGTATGATTGGCCCAATAGATTATAGCAGGCAGCTATTGAAAACATACTTTGTACATGCACATACTCAACTACCCAAAATGTAATCAAGTGGTGCGGTTCTTCTAATACTTTGTAGATTAAATGAGATTAAAAACATTGTTAATTTGCGAAATAATTATATATATATGTACAAGTCAAAGGCAGCTTGCATAAACGAAGGTCATTTTTTTCATATTTCAGGTTTGATTCTACATGTTTTGGAAAATAGGCAAACGGATTTGAACTTTTTTCCCATTAATTGAACATGTTAACATCACATCCATAGCATCACGTAACATATCGTTACAGCCCATGTGACACAGCCTAATTTGCTAACATAATTCACAACGTAAAAGCATAATAGATGTCGTGTCTAGGTTTTATTAGATGTACATGACAACGGGTTTAAGAACCGATATAGAAGGCGCCTGCTGAATGGTCTCGAGGTCAATTAGACGTAGTCTTGTTTTGCATAATAATCGACGAATCTCTCGGATATCATAGATCCTCGCTGTACAAGGGGATATTACATAGACTACCTTAGCACCTATCCCCGTACAATTAAGAACGATTCACAATGCAGTGTGAGTATGCCAACAAGTGTTTGCCTCAAGAGGCCACTTTTCAACTTAACAGTCTATTTAAAAGTACATTAAAAAAAAAATGAACTTACCTGTACATGGAAGTAAATTGGGGAATCTGTTCTTGTTTTTGCAGACAGGTTTCTGGGCTTCCTAATACAGTTGACTGCCACTGACATTTCATATAGCACCTACATTTCAAAGTGAACAAATTGACAACACATATTACATTACTTTTTCTCTTTCTAGCTTGGACTTCAATTACAATTAACAATTGTTGACAGGTGTGATGTGGGATATGACAACACCCTAGGTGTGCATTTCACCTCTGGTGCTATGCACCCCGAGGGGGTTAAAACGGCATACCCCACATCACAGCAGTCAACAATTGTTTTGTTACATCGTATCAGAAAGTCAATATGATAAATGCTAGTAACCTACTATGCAAGAAATATTAAAAATCAGTGCGGTGTAACCGGTGAAAACTGCAGGCTTACCCGCCGGACATGAGACTGAGTGGTTGTGCATGCATTGCACTCAGCTCAGTCCAGCACGCATACAGGTCCCACACACCCACGCCCAACACGCAACATTGTGCATGTATATGAGGTAAGCCATTGTACATGTATGTTTTGATAGACTAGAAATGTGGCCGTTCTCAACCAATGACATTACAATACCCGAGCACGTTATATTTTGCCGTCAGCTGGATGTTAAAATTTGTTTGTTTCGCTCAAGCAATCGCAGGTCTAGATTTTCTTGACAGTTTTGCTGAAATACTCTACCAAAGAATGATATTGTAGAAGTTCTCCACATTTCGTCCTGCAGTTTTTTATAATTTGACTCGAAACAGCAAACTATTTGTTCATTGTGAAAGTTCAAAAATGTACCGTGCTACGTACAAAAAAATCCTTCGCGTATGACACAAGCATACCACGTGACGTGAACTGTCTTATAAGACATCAGATAGGAAATTGTAGGTCATGACACCCAACAAACATGGCGGCGTCCATTGCCGATGGCGCTCAACATTTGACGTAAACATCAACCGATGCAAATGTATAAGTGTTTTAATGCATCTGTCAAGTTTGAGGGAAAACCAAAGGATCTAATGTCCGGGGTTATGATAAGTTCACTGCCAAAGGGGGGCTTGCAGAGTTTCGACGTCCGTATAGTTTCAAATTGCACCTCACAAACATAAATTTGTGATGACTACATGTACATGATGATGTCAAGAATCCAACTACAAAAAAGAATTTAGAATTCAGCATGTTCTGTTTGCAAGATATGGCTTTAGGTTTAATAATTCATAAATTCATTACATATCATATGATCATGTCATAGTGATGTCACATCGATCATGTATCGCCTAAAACATCCCGGTCTACCTACATACCAAATCTGAACCAAATCGGACTTGCAGTTCTCTAGAAATACATATACATGTAGGAACTTAAAATGTGCACCAATAGAGATGATGTCACGTGACCCCTGATGACGTCATGATGACGTCACTCTTCTGGAGACGAGTTCACTATGGAGTCTATGCATAAGTTGAGTTTTATGGGAAACAACTTTGTCTTTATTATACCAAAAGTATTTGGTGGAATAAACCATGTACAAAGTATAGATGGTTGGAACATAATTGATAATTTTGTTCACGATTTATAGGTGAAAGAAGATCGTCATTTTTTTCAATCATAATTGCCTGTACAAAAATGTACATTGTAATTTGACACCCGTTCATGTCATCATGACATCAGAGTATAAACATGCACCACTAGGGATGAGGGTCGATATGTTGAAAGTTACAAGTTCATACCATAATACCGTTTAGGAGAAAACCCGAGGTGTGAATTATTGTCCAGAAAGAAAGACAGAAAGAAAGAAGAAGATTGATCAGAACAATAAACAGTGGTCGGGTTGTGCAAAGTCATTTTTTTAACTCGCCACCATGACTGAACTCGGGGCACAACCATGGAGCTATAACATGAACGGATACAGGTCAACTTGTATGCAACAAACTTGTATGCAGGACAACTCGTACGTGACAAACTTGTACCCAGGACAACTCGTACCCGGACCAACACGTTCACGGTCCAATTCCTACACGGGCCAACTCATACGTATTCATGAGCATAGACTAGCGTAGTACACACTGTCCTGGCCCACACCGTGTGCTATACGACAAGACAATACCACCCGTAATGAGAATTTAAATCGTGTATCCGGTCTGCTGCATTTGTAGACTTTAACATACACTGCTAAATACAGTGCCCTGCGCTATGTGTGAAACAAATCATTGGATGTCTGGACAAATGCTCCATGCTAGTCAGTGCTTTTTGCCCACCTCATACTAGGTGGTCATTCAGCTTACGCATGGTGTGCTTACGATTGTGTATGGCATCTTCTGCACTCTGGGAACAAACAGTTATGTTTGCCTTTGGAATTCCAAAAATGTATTGAACTAAAAATTAAGTGCCAATAAAATTATTTGTGGTCGATGATTCTCATCTCCATCCAATCTGGAAACAGTATTGTACAATTATTATTATGGCTTATTTCACATATGAGTTGGCATGCGTACATTTGACTAATCTGTGTTGGCTTGCATAGGAGTTGACATTTTGTGGTTCCCGAACACTCTTTTAAAGTTTAGGCCTTCTTAAAAACAATTGCACAAGACATCAGATAGCCCCAGTAGTGTGGCCGCGGTATTGATGCGCTGCACCTCATGGCCACATGCCAGGTTCCCTAAACTATCGAGGAGTTTGTCCGAAACAAATCACAAATCTTTTACATACAGTTGTATTCTGTGATGTAGCAGCTTCTTTCCTCCGGGTTGTTTAGTTGTCCTTATATCAAATTTTTTCGAGAAATTAAAGCATCTTTCTGAAACTCATATGCACCCAAAAATTGTCTGTTGATGGCTGCCATTTTTAATGTAAGAAGCGA